ACCGGGACAGCTGGTCAGATACAGAGTCGCTAACAGATTACTTACACTAGCTGGAATGTAGATAATGAACATGTGTCAACACACTTACAGTAACAATGATGATGAAAGCATTTTAAAAGAAAGCAAGTAATTTGTTATAGGAGTTTTGCAATTGGTATCTAACATTCATAGTTTTGGTTGAAGACAGATATATTTGTTGGAAGTGGCCTGCAGTGTGTGTCTTATTTCGGGTGCTCTGATGTGCAATGCATAAGCTAAAAAAACACCATCAGTGTGGCCAGTAAAATAAAAAGAATACCCCAGGTCCATTTGGGTTGTGTCTGTGTGTGTTTTTTAATTAACCTCTTTTTCACTGATTTGGTGCATAAAGAGTCCTGGCATTACTGGACCTAGTGTTGGAACCACTGACATCTGTGATTATGAGTAATTAAGTCAGAACTAAGTCTACACTGGCACGGACAGTGGTGCACTGGTTACCAATTCAAAGTTCCAACTTCAGCTGGGGTTGCATGTTCGCATGTTGTCACTGTGCCTGGGTTTCCTGTGGACACCTCTCCCTTCTCTCACAGCACATTAGGTGATTACAAATTGGTAGTGGAGGTGAAATAGAGGTAAAGTACTTAGGCAAAAATAAATATCTGAGAAGAAAACCTGAGCTGAGAAGGAAGGAAAAAACCCTAAAGCCCCTCTTATGGAATCTCGGGCTATGTTTTATTTAAACTTTCTCTGTTGCATTGTATTATTCATACCAACCTCCCATTCTCTTCAGTGTCTGGCTAATCGATTGGATGATAATTAGTTTATCTAGACTTACAGTGTATCTGCAAAGTCATCACGAGGCCTTTCCTGGGACCAAGTGACACTTCTCAAAACACCCTTAGGTGTTTTCAGACAACACCAACAACCTCTCGGGTTTCACAAATCCCTCAAATGACCGGTCAGTTAAGAGGCAGATTTAAGTTAGCAGGTCTTCTTACCCCCTGTGAATCTTTGACAAAATAGCTCCCACTGGAACCCTGATAGATCCTCTCGGGGTAGATCCCCTCCTCTATAGCTCGTTCGGCCTTTCGGATGATCTCCCTGAACTCGGGATCTTCTGGGAATTCATTCCTGTGCGCCTCCCGCGGCGTGTTTCCACGGTCTCGATCCAGAAGCGGCTGTCTCTCTCGATTGCGCCCCGGACTGCCGGCCGTGATGCGCACCACGGAGCCCGGCGTGCTTCCAAACGCGCCCCGGGGGCTGGTGGGCTCCGTGGGGCAGTAGGTGAAATCACCCGAGTCCCGGAGCGGAGAGACAAGCGGACTCGTCTCGTCCATGACTTGGGAAGTAGACGAGAAGTTCCTTTAACTCCTAATGATGGATGCAGAGAGGAAATAGAAGACCGAAAAGAAAGTGGAATCGATGTTTCGTTAGCTAGCACTGACGCTTGCTAACAAGGAACAAGAAAAAAAGGGGAAAAAATCAGATGACCGTCAGCTTCCGGGAAGAGGCGGGACCCGTGAAGTGTTTTGATCTGTAACCAATCAGCGTGCAAATAGCCACTTCAGCAAGCTAATCTGTTGCAGTGATTGGACAGAACAGTTCCGCCCACGGAAAGCACGTGAGAGAAAAGTTAACCCAATCAATTAACCCCACAAAAAAGCCTTTGATAAACATGTTCTGTGTTTTTATCACGGGGCCTTTTTAGGATGTTATCAGACTGGGTTATAACAGTTTTACTTGTAGATGTCGGTCAATTCTGCCAGGCTGATAAAAAAAGAAGGACTTATATTTAGATTCAAGTACTGCATGAAAGCGCTTTCAATTTAATTAAGAGAATTAGATAAATCAGTGTCATAATATAATTATGGAAACTGAAGTTGAGTCATGGAAAGTTGGAATTGGACGTGTCATTTCTAATGATTTCTGGTGATATTTTTTAATGTAAAAGAAACATTTAACAATCAGGCAATTTGTCACAGTTCAAGATACTGAAATATAACAAAAGTAGACTCTATAGAATTTTTAAAACTATTTTTAAACAATTTATTCTTAATTCTTTTTATTTTATACTATCATGCACATGTATGATTTACTGTCTTGTTTGTCTAGAGTTCGTTAACATCTTCACCTAACACACAGAAGACCCGATGGCAGGGCATCCGGAGGAAAAATCTGATCAAATGAGAATATACAGTTCCATTTGCTGTGGCAACCTCTTGCAATTAAGGATTCAGCTATCTTTGCTTTTCCTAGGATTGTACCTTCCTGGACTAAGATCTGGGATTCCTTTTGTATAGCTACATTTATCACTGTGCCACCGCTACTCTGTCTGGTTGGTTAGCCATCATATCTATACTGAGAACATGTGTGTGGGAGTGTTCTCAGTCCTTGTTGAGGCATGTCATATAACATCAGAATGCCTTAGGCAGCTGATGATAAATGGTGATGAGGAACTATCATGGATGACCAACCTCTTTGTGGGATGTACCATGGACAGATAGAGGAAGTTGGTAACATCATGAAATCCTACCAGTGGCTTAAAGGACAGCACAGAGGGTCTGATCATGCCATCATCAGAACCAAGATCCATGGAAGCAGGAGTCTACCACAGCCAAGAAGTCCCAAGTTATAGCCTGTGCAAAGGTGCCCTGGAGACTATCCAACAGCATATAGCACGATGTAATGTGCAAGCTCAGATGGTATTCACTGAGACGGATAGTCTACAGGAAAATCTGTGAAACATAAATTAGAAGTCTTCAACTCCTGATGGGAGATGACGCTGAAGGTGGTTGGGGACACCAGCGCTAAGGTACTGTAGGACTTCAAGTTCCAGACAAATAAACAGCTGCAGGGTC